ACTCAATGTCTATTTCCTTTACAGTTGGTGTGATTGTAGCCAGACCATTATTTCAAAAACTCGAGCAAAAATAAAAATTGAAATATAAAAGGATATTGATTTCGCCCGGGCTCGAACCGGAGACCTTTCGCGTGTGAGGCGAATGTGATAGCCTACTACACCACGAAATCGCAATCGCTTTTTATGAGCCAACTAACTGACTTTTTCTGATAGGAGAATAAATAATTATGTCTACTGATAGTAATCACGTGAAGGAGGTCAATTTATTTTATTTTTCTCACTTGTGCCGAGATTTTTTCACGCAAAAAAAGTGTCTAATTTCTTGCTTGGCGTGGCGTGGCGTTTGACATTTATGATGTTTGTTTGTGGCGTGTAGCTGTTTTTTTTTATCATTGTGTAACAACAAGGGTGTGTGGAAAAAAGAAAACGCCACCAATTCCCACCACCACCACTCGAAAAAAGTGGCGACTACTTTTCTTTTTTATCTCTCTTCCTCTCCAAACTCCCTTTTTTTAAAAATTTATTAACATGGCGCAGATTGACATGGGCGAGCTCCAGCCCAAGACATTTGTGAGCAGACGTATTACGGGGGACACGCAGTTCATGTTCCAATTTTACAAGCCGTGTATCCAGTACTACGAGCCACCATCACCTGGCAGTGGTGGACAACAAGCGACATGTATGAGCGAAACCAAGTTGCGGCGGTCACTGATTACAGCACTCCACGGATGTCCGCTTTTATTTGGTCGATTCAAGATTCACCCAGATCTAACTATATCGCTCGACTATGATCCGGAGAACAGCAACCCGCCAACACTCCAGTTCCAGCGACTTCCTGTTACGTATTCGCAGATACGCGCGCAGAATTTCGCGTACTCTGCAGCTACGCAGTATGGCCTGGATATCGCCATTCCGGATGGATCTATTACACGCGGAAGGGTTGACAATAGTAAACCTATGCTGATGGTCAAGGTCACGTATTTGGGCGATGGCGGAGTAGCGATTTTTTCAATGACTAATCATGTGGCGTTTGACGGTAACGCCATGTTTAGCTTTATTGCGCATTGGGCCAAGTGCAACCGACTACTGGGACAGGTAGTAGTAGTCGAGCTACCGAGCGAGCTGGACACGTACGCGACATCGTTGGTAACTAATACCGGAAAGCCGTTAGCGCATGGGCCGGTTGAGATCTCTGTGGACGCTACCAGGACGCCGGCAGAGCTCTCGGTGGCGAATAGCAAGGCTGTAGCGGAAGGCAGTGTACAGGCGTGTGTGTTTTCGCTATCCGTGAGCAACATCCAAAGGCTCAAAGCGATAGTGGAGGAGAGCGGGGTATTGGGCGAGGGCGAATGGGTGTCATCGAACAACGTCGTTGCAGCGTTTATATCTCAGTGCGTAGCTCGCGCCAACACAGAGTCCCAGGTATACGAGGCCGGGAGTTGGACGTTATTCCAGGCGCTCGACATGCGGCGTGCTCTGGGTCTACCACTCCGTGGCCTGGGCTCGCCCCTGATTTTGGCTGAATGCCAGGCAACAAGCAGAGAGATATCAGATACAAAGTCTTTCTTCCCAGTGCTTGCTCGTCGTGTACGCCAGAGTCTAGACAAGTATTCGGGCGAGTATTTGCAGGCGGCTATGGATTGGATGAACCAGTCGTATGGCGATTTGGCAAAAAGTGGAACGGTGGAACCGTGGCGGCATTTTTGGTTCTCGGCTTTGAATACTAATAGGAGAGCCGTTGGCGTGTCCTGCATGAATAGGATTCCTATTTATGATGCGGATTTTGGCGCTGGATGGCCCACTATGGCGAGGTCGTTTAATCCGAGACCCAACTATGTCATTGTCTTTCCGGGGCCGCCA